TTGCATATTTTTGTGCAGAGCCAGGTATTGGAGATATCGGACTCGGACAGAATTAGAGTGGGATCGCAAGGATTCAAAGTAGAGCTGTTTGGTCGTCGCAGTTCCTTGGAATCTTTTTATTTTATTGTACTGTTATTTATTATTTAAACAGTATTGAGTATTCGATCCTTGAGATCATTTCATATATTCAGTTAGAGTTCGTGACTCAGTACTTCCAATCTTGGGAGGTTGTTATATTTGTAATTATTTTTGTTGTTATTTTTTATTTTTTTTTAAAATGGCTTGAATTGTTATTAAAATTGGCTTACTTAGTCTTAGAGACTAAGTGCCATCACGACGCCTATGGTGGGATTTTGGGTCGTGACATTATCTCTACAAGAGAGTTGGTCTAAAAAAGTAACTACAGTTAGTAGTTCATCAAAATATACCAAACTTAAATTGGATGATATTAGAGACTTGATTCTATGTGAAGATATTCAACAACAACAACAATAACAAACTGAAAAGAGTTGATTTCTGAGGAGGTATGGACCGGAAAGAACTTCTTTCTTATATTTGAAAATAGTTAGTTCTATTGTTTCTGTGCATATAAACTCCAGTAATAGAGATAAGTACGATCTTAAAACCAAAAAATATTTTTGTTTATTGGCCATGGTGATTACAATTTTGGTTTATCGATTTTAGCATGATTAGAAGAGAACAATCATAAGACACATGTGTGTCACCTTTAATGAAAACTAGTGTACTACCTTGCGCCTTGCGTGGTTATAAAAAATTAAAATATAATTTAATATTAATGTCATAAATTATTTTTAAAAGTCTAATCTATACTAAACAAACTTTTTGTAATTCTGTCATTTTTTGTGATTTTTCTAACATCTAATATAAATTTTTTAGAAAAATAATATAAATTAAAAATGAAACAATCCGTTTATGCGCTAAGTTGGCCCATAAATGGTTATCAAAAAATATATATGAAATAATCCATTTAACTCAGTATATGTGAACTTGAATAAACAAAAAAAAAGAGAATAAAATAAAAGAAATAGTAGAAAAATAAAGAAAAAAAGTATCAAATTGAACCTGTCATTATTGGGATCAAATTCCGCAGTTTCTTTTTTCTCACATTAAAATTCTAAACTTACCAAAAAAATATTCTTAAGCGATTATAGTTTCCATTCAAAAAATAAAAAGTAGCATTGTTTTCCCGATTATTAAAAGGTTAATTGGGTTATTTGGAATTTGAATGCTTAATCATTCGGTTTCTAGCCATTTAAGGGAATTACATCATAATAATATGCAATGAAATGTAAAAGAAATATAGAATCAAATGTAATTACCTTTAGTTAGACAAATGTATGCTAAATAAAATATCAAATAAATATAAAAAGAAGAGGAGAAAATAATGAAAAACAAATTAATCATAATAAAGAAGAAATAAGTTACAGTACAAAGAGGAAAAAGTGGGAATGAAAAGGGAGTGAGTTAGTCAGTTATTTAATAACATTAGAGAAAGTATTCAAATATCAATTACTATTCATACTTACAAAAACAAAAGTATACAAAATCAGCTATAAAATAAGAACACAAAACTAATAGTAACGTATCAAGAAACCTAATGAATCAAAAGAATGATCTCTAAAACAACCATACCCCAATGTCTATTAACTGGAGTCTCCTATATGAATTTTCTGCGCAAAATAACAACTTTTGCAGGAAAAGAAATGAGAAACAAAGAAAAAGTAGAATCTTTTACACACAACTCTAATCCCACAATCACAGCATTTCAGCAATTAATTTTTTCTAATCTTCTAAACCGATAGGCTGCTACGACGGAAGTGTAAGAATTCTTCTTAAATTCAGTTATGAAAAATGAAAATATGTAATTTCTCTTCAAAATTTGGACTAAAGCAGACTAAAAAGTTTACTGGATTGTGAAATATGGTTAGCAATGCAATCGTAACGTGTTGTAGGAAATGTAACGTGCAGAAATTAAAAGCATATATCTTTTCATATTTTGTTGAATGTCTTCCCCTTTAATTAAAATTTAACGTCTAGCATATAACTGTTTTCTTAACGAAAAAGAAGAGGAAAGGACGTGACTTTTGATTTTTGAAGAAGTGACTTACGGGTTTTTTGAAATAGCAAATAAATTGAAAAAATAGGATAAAAGCCAAAAAAATTGACAAAAAGGATAATTAAGTTCCTTGGCCATATAGGCATGCCACATCACTGTGTCAAGTCCCAACCTTATATATTTATATAGATGTGATGTCAAAGGTCAAGCTTGAAGTAGAACCAACTCGCAGCAGACAGACATCTAAAATGGTTGAGTCGGAAGAAATGTCAAAAAATGAATTGGCTGGAGGTAGGGGTGTACATAGGTCGGGTTGGTTCGGATTTTTCATTTATCAAACCAAATCAATGGAGTCGGGTTTTTAAATTTATAAACCAAACCAAACCAACAAAGTCGGATTTTTCAATCTCGGGTTTTTTCGAGTTTTCGGATTTTTTTTCTCGTAAAGTCTTCATAGCATTAAATATGTAACTTGTGCTCCAAATATTTCTCAAGTCCTAGTAAAATATAACTATAAAATGTATTTTCTAAGAAACTAACACAATAATATGAGATAAGTCATAGCATTATACTAAAATATTCAATAACAAAGATAAAATAATAAAATTACATAAAACAAATATTGCTAATTAATAAATCATAATAAAAATTAACACAATCTAAAAATACTATATACAACAACAACAACAACAATATACCAGTAGTATCCCACACCGTGGGGTCTGGGGAGGGTAGTGTGTACGTAGACCTTACCCTACCTTGTGAGGATAGAGAGGCTGTTTCCAATAGACACTCGGCTCAGGAAAGCATAAGCACCACATTAATGAAAATATAGACAAGAAAGGACAGTACCAAAAAGTCATATAAAAGCAGAATAAAAACAACAAGATAGTAAGGTGATCAACAATGAAAGAAAACAACGGTTAGTCATAAAAACCTACTACTAACAGAAAGCGGGACTGCGTGCCAATACTACTATTATGAACACTCTACACTACCTACTCTACTACCCTAATCCTTGACCTTCATACCTTCCTATCAAGGGTCATGTCCTCGGTCAGCTGAAGTTGCGTCATGTCTTGCCTAATCATCTCTCCCCACCTCTTCTTTGGCCTACCTCTACCTCTCTATAGGCCCTCCAATGTCAATCTCTCACACCTCCTCACCGGGGCGTCTGCGCTTCTTCTCCTCACATGACCAAACCACCTAAGTCGCGCTTCCCACATCTTGTCCTTAATAGGGGTCACACCCACCTTGTCGGGAATAACCTCATTTTTGATCCTATCTAACCTGGTGTGCCCGCATATCCATCTCAACATCCTCATCTTTGCTACCTTCATCTTCTGGACATGAGCGATCTTGACTGGCCAACACTCCGCCCCATACAATATCGTTGGTCTGACCACCACTCTGTAAAACTTACCCTTAAGTTTCGGTGGCACCTTCTTGTCATACAAAACACCAGAGGCGAGTCTCAATTTCATCTATTCCGCCCCAATACAATGTGTGACATCTTCATCAATCTCCTCTTTCTCCGGAATAATAGACCCAAGGTACTTAAAACTCCCTCTCCTTGGGATGACCTGCGAGTCCAGCCTCACCTCCCCTTCCCCTCCTTGAGTCTAGCCATTGAACTAATACTCCGAGTATTCTGTCTTGGTCCTGCTCAACTTGAAACCTTTAGATTTCAGGGTTTGCCTCCATACCTCTAATTGTGCATTCACATCATCTCGCGTCTCGTCAATCAATACAATATCATATGCAAATAGCATGCACCACGGCACCTCCCATTGGATATGGCACGTCAGTACATCCATCACCAGAGCAAACAAAAAAGGGTTGAGTGCCGACCCCTGATGCAACCCCATCATAACCGAAAAAAATGGTCTGAGTCCCCAACCGCCACCCTCACTCGAGTCTTTACTCCATCATACATATCCTTAATCAATCTAACGTAGGCAACATGTACACCTATAACCTCCAAACATCTCCACAAAATCTCCCTCGGAACTTTATCGTACGTCTTTTCTAAGTCGATGAAAACCATATGCAAGTCTTTCTTTCTCTCCCTATGCTGCTCCATTAATCTCCTAACAAGGTGGATGACTTCTGTAGTCGAACGCCCCGGCATAAACCCAATCTGGTTCTCAAAAATAGACACACTCCTTCTTACCCTTAGCTCTACCACTCTCTCCTAGACTTTCATAGTATGGTTCAGCAGCTTGATACCCCGATAGTTATTGTAATTTTGGATATCACCCTTGTTCTTGTATACAGGAACCATCATGCTCTACCTCCACTCTTCGGGCATCTTCTTCGTTCTAAAAATGGCATTATATAACCTAGTGAGCCACTCCAAGTCTGCCTTGCCTGCACTCTTCCAAAACTTCACCAGGATTTCATCCGAACCGGTTGCTTTGCCCCTGCTCATCTTACGCATAGCCCCCTCAATTTCATTAACTCTAATCCGCTTACAATACCCAAAGTCACAACGACTCCCGAAGAGTTCCAAATCACCCAATACAATGTTCTTGTCCCCTTCCTCATTCAAGAGACTATGGAAGTAGGTCTGATATCTCCGACAGATAAGCCCCCCATCCAACAAAACTCTACCTTCTTCGTCCTTGATGCACTTCATTTGGTCCAAGTCACACGCCTTTCTTTCTCGCACCTTGGCTAACCTGAACAACCTTTTATACCCACCTCAGCCCTTGAGTTCCTCATACAAACGAATAAAAGTTGCGGTCTTGGCCGCCGTAACTGCTAGCTTTGCCTCTTTCTTAGCCAGCTTATAATGCTCCCTATTTGTCCTCTTCTCCTCCTCGTATACACTTTCCACTAGCTTCAGATACGCTGCTTTCTTGGTTTCCACTTTTCCTTGCACCTCTCCATTCTACCACCAGTTTCCCTTGTGACTACCAGATTAACCATTTGCGACCCCTAATACCTCTCTCGCGGCTTTCCTAAGGCACTGCGCAGTCATTATCCACATAGTGCTCACGTCCCTACTACTCATCCAAGCCCCCAAAGTCACCAGCTTGACCCCCAACTCCTGCTCTTTAGCTTCCGTCAAAGCTCCCCGCTTGACCATATGTTGGCTATACATCGCCATCTTCCTCCTCTTTCTCGTGATCTCAAGGTCCATAACTAGGAGCTCATGAAGGGTCGAGAGGTTCTCACTCGAGATGACCTTGCAATCTGTGCAAAGACCTCTATCATACTTCCTACAGAGTAAATAATCAATCTGAGTCTCGGCCACCGAACTACGGAAGGTGACCAAGTGCTCCCTCTTCTTCGAGAAACTCGAGTTTGCTATCACCAAATCAAATGCTCTAGCAAAGTCTAGCAGAGACGTTCCTCCTCCGTTTCTATCTCCAAAATCAAAGCCACCATGCACATCATCATACCCCCCAGATGTCGTTCCAATGTGACTATTGAAATCTCCTCCTATGAAAAGATTATCGGTATGCGGATACCACGTACCATCTCATCTAAATCCTCCCAGAAATGCCTCTTGACTTCCTCATCCAAGCCTGTTTGGGGTGCGTACACTCTGATTATGTTCAAAGTAAAACCTCCAACAACTAGCTTAATAGTCATCAGCCTGTCATTCACCCTCCTAACCTCCACCACTAGTTCATGGAGGTCCTTATCAACCAAGATACCTACCCCGTTCCTTCCCCCATCCTCCCATAATACCATAGTTTGAAACTGTCCACATCCCGCGCCTTATCTCCTGCCCACCTAGTCTCATGTACACAAACAATATTAATCTTCCTTTTCTCGAGAATCTTCGCTAACTCTACAGATTTTCCAGTCAAAGTTCCTATGTTCTAAGACCCATCCCACTCTCAGAATAGTAGCTCCCTTAGCCCTCTTACCCCACGCACCCCCCTCCCCCCCGTGATGACGCCCTCGAGGACAAGACCTTACCCTACCATCATTCACCAAAGCCACTATAATCTAGGCGACACTACTATCCCGAAAACAAGTGACAAAAATAACATGAATTACCAAAATATAATCTACCACTAAAGGTCGCAAAACAGGTGAAAAAATAAAATAAAGGAACTAACGGGAACTATAATCTACAACTAAAGGTGAGCAAAACATGTGAAGAAATAAAATAAAGGAACTAACGGGAACTATAATCTACAACTAAAGGTGAGCAAAACATGTGAAGAAATAAAATAAAGGAACTAAATGTAACGACCCGACCGGTCATTTTGAGCATTTGCACTTCGCTCGGTAGTTTACGGGAGTGAGTAGCTCCGTATGATATATTTTGACTTGTGTGAATCGTCGATTTTGATTTTCAGGTATTTCAGAATCAAATTGGAAAAATGGATTTCATTGTTGAAATTTTAAATTGGGAGAGTTGACCAAGTTTGACTTTTTAGCATTTGACCTCAGATTGGAGTTTTGATGGTTCCGTTAGCTCCGCTGGGTGATTTTGAACTAGGGAGCACGTCCAGATTGTGATTTGGAGGTCCGTGGTTGAATTTGGCTCGAAATGGCGAAAGTTGAAATTTTGGAATGTTTGACCGGGAGTGGACTTTTTGATATCAGGGTCGAATTCTGATTACGGAAGTTGGAGCAGGTCCGTAATATCGAATGTGACTTGTGTGCAAAATATGAGGTCAATTGGACGTGATTTGATAGGTTTCGGCATCGGTTGTGTAAGTTGAAGTTTCAAAGTTCATTGAATCCGAATTGAGGTGTGATTCGTCGTTCCAATATTGTTTTGTGTGTTTTGAGGCATCGAGTAGGTCCGTGTTATGTTTTTGGGCTTGTTGGTATATTCGGACGGGGTCCCGAGGGGCTCAGGCGTATTTCAGATTGTGTTCGGACTATTTTCCTCCATTTTGGCCTTGCTGGTGTGTTCTGGTTTTCTGGTGCGTGGATTTTTCTTCGCGATCGCGGATCACTTGATGCAATCGCGTAATGGGAAAATGGAGCTGGGGTGTTTCTTATTCGCGGTCGTGATTGGCCAGAAGCGATCGCGTAGCTTTGTGTTGAAGATTGTCCGCGTTCACGTATGAGGAACTGCGGTCTCGAAGTGTTGAGGTTTGGCAACTGGAGCTGGATGCCTTATTCATCGCATTTGCGTAGTTGGAGACACGTTTGCAAAGGTCTGAGCCAGCTGTGAGTCGTGTTCGCGTGGTGTTTACCGCAAACGCGAAGTGTATTATGCCTGGGCAGATTACAAAGTACTCTATTTCGAGGGTTTCGGCCATTTTTTATATTTTGGGAGCTATGGAGCTCGGATTGAGGCAATTCTTGAAGCAATTTTCACCATATGAATTGGAGTAAGTCTTCTCTACTCGGTTTTGGTTATATTCCACGAATGTATCTTCGATTTTAGCTTTTGGTTGATGAAATTTAAAGAGAAAATTGGGGGTTTTGGCCTAAAGTTTTATAATATGAATTTTTGAGTTTTGAACATCGAATTGGGATTTGAGTAAAACTAGTATGGTTGGACTCGTAATTGAATGGGTTATTGAATTTTATAAATTTTGTCGGGTTCCTAGGTATGGGCTTGGGTTGGGTTTTTGGCCGATTTTGGGCTTTTGATTCAAGATTTGATCTTCTTCAATCGGGATTTGTTCCTTTAGCATTGTTTGATGTATTTGAGTTTTTTGGTTAGTTTCGAGCCGTTTGGAGGTCGGAACGCGCGAGATAGCATTTTGGAGCATCATTTGGCTTGCTCGACATTGGTATTGGCTTGTTCAAGGTAAGTAACTCTTTTAATCTTAGTGTTGAGGGTATGAAACCCTGAAATACATGCTAGGTGATGGGCGTGTGGGCGTGCATCCTGTGAATTGTGATTCCGTTGTTTCCATGGCACTGTATAGTGGCCCTATTTTGTTGATATCTGTGTTATCACCATGTGATAAAGTAGTTAAGCTATCAATCATGCTAAATATCATGTTTAGGCTTTATGCTGATATTGTTAGGATCCATAGTGGTCGTTTCTTGCTGTCATCTTACTGATTTCATTGATATATTGTACTCAGTCATATTCATGCATTCATATCATATTTCAGTCTCAGTTGTTGTTTATTGATACATCATATCATTATTGTCGGGCTAGTTTCATGGCATTGTGAGCCCGTGAGTGAGACTGGAGAGATTGATGACTGAGTGAAGCCGAGGACCTGAGTGAGAGTGACATTTTGGGATCGGGCTGCACGGCGCAGCATATGATATTGATTATATTTTATATGGATCGGGTTGCATGCCGCAACAAGCCTTCGAGCTCCATATATATATATATATATATATATTATTGGATCGGGTTGCACGCCGCAATAATATTGGATCGGGCTGTACGCCGTAATAATATTGGATCGGGCTGCACGCCGCAACAATATAGTGCTTGGGCTGAAGGAGCCCTTCCGGAGTCTGCACACCCCCAGTGAGCACAATCGACTATATATATATATATATGTGGATCGGACTGCACGTCGCATCGGGTATTATACAACGCTAAGTGATTGAGTGTGCTAAGCCTTGAGCATAGTGAGAGAGAATGCGAGACAGTGAGATTGAGTACTCTGAGAGTGTGAGTACATGAGTTCATCTCTGAGATGCATTGCATTGACATGCACACATGACATACAAGCATAGAGATGTATTTTTCTCATGCTGTACGGTATCACCTCATTCATGATTTCTCACACATGTTGACAGGTGGGCATAGTGATGCATTTGTTTTACACTGGTTATCTGGAAAGAAAATGAAATATCTTATTTATTATTGAAAGGAGTTTTTTTGGAAAATTATTATTTTCAAACTTATTCATATTTTTGGTAACTCTGGTAAACGATTTGGGTTTTCATTGAAATATTCGAAAGGCAGAACTATTTTTAAAAATCATGTTTTTGTTGAAATTGTTGGGTTACTTTTGGTATTACTTGTTTTATGTTGTTATGAACTGTTGTTGGTTATTGAAGTTGGAACCCGACCTTGGTACAAGCTCGTCACTACTTTCAACCTAAAGTTAGGTTTGTTACTTATTGAGTACATGTGGTCGGTTGTACTCATACTACACTTCTGCACCTTGCGTGCAGATGTTGGCTGTTATTATTGCCGTGTTCGATGGGAGCTGGATTGAAGATGTACCTACGTCCCGGCTGTAGCTGCCTCTTGTTCGTGGTAGCTTTAGATATGTAAAATGTTGTTTATGTACTATTCAAACAGATTATGTATTTATTTCATTTCCGCTTTGTAAACTCTATTCTTAGAAACTCATGATTTGTACTACTAGTTCTTGGAGAATATTTAAGATTAAGATATTTTATTACTTAATTTCTTTATAAATTATTATTGGAATTGGTTAGTGGTTAACTGGCTTACCTAACAGGTTGGGTTATGTGTCATCACGACTAGTCAGATTTTGGGTCGTGACACTAAAGGAACTATAATCTACGACTAAAGGATAGAAAGATAGGTGAAGAAATACAATACAAGAGCTAAATGGGGCTATAATCTACAACTAAAGGTCACAACGAAAATGTGCAAAATTGAACAGAACTACTAAGTGATATTTGAAATAAAGATTCAAAATAAAGATGTAAACAGGTAGATAACAATATAAACAAGTAGACAAAGCTATCACTAATGCAATTAATTTGACAATACTAGGGCAAATACTAACTAAAGATTCCAAAACAAAATAGGCGGGCAAGGAAATACAAATATACTAAAATATCAAACTATTAAATTATCAAGACAAGAGAGAAATAATAGAACTTGAATTGCAACTCTTGAAATAAACGGAAATCGATGTATTGCGAGATGAAGAATAATCTCGAATTGAAATTGTCCGACCAGTACGTGGAATAGCAGGATGGAAGGAAAAAAAATTCAGTTCTTTGATAAAAAATTACCCAACCAATACAAGAATTAGATGAATATGTGCGGGTTTAGACAGAGAAACTCGACGGCGGAAGCCTGAACTAGCTAATTGAAGGCCCAAAATTAGAAAAATAGTAGAGAATAATTATCAAACTGCCCTGCTGCGAAAACCGTTAAGAAAATCTATTAAAGCCTTCACAAATTCCTCGATCTATATCAATCTTTTCAGCAAACTTTCTCTTTCGGATAGCAAGGTCAAATCTCTCAAGCAACTCTAATTTATTCACAATCTAAAAATATTATATAGGTCATGCTAAAATAAGTATAACTAATAAATACTAATATTAATTACATAACTAAGCACTAAAGAAAAAGATAAACTAAGTTATGCATTTTTATTATAAACTAATGTAAAACTAAAATAATTATTCAACACTATCGTCATTCCTAGTATTGAATTGAATTTCTTTTGTTAGCATTAGTATTGATTTGAATTTTGTTTGAGTTACTACATTTATGGGCTTTAAAATTTATTTACCATTCAAGAATGTTAAGTCTAAACTTGAAATAATATGTTAAAAGATAAAAGTGTGAAAAAGTTTAAGAAATATTTATAAATTACATTACAATAAATATTTATATGTATAAAATATTTTTAAAAATTATATAAATGTACTATCGGATTGGTTTGATTTTGGTTTGACTTTTTTTAGTTTAAACCAAACCAAACCAATTATGGTCGGGTTTTATTTTTCAATACCAAACCAAATCAAATCAAACTACATCGGATTTTTTTCGCTTTGACTCGGATTATTGATTTGGTGCGATTTATCGATTTTCT